GAGTCTCCTGCCTCTGCCTCCCAAGTAGCTGGGACTACAGGCGCCTGCCACAACACCCAGCTATTTTTTGGTTGTAGCCATCAGTGTTGTTTGGCAGGCCCGGGCTGGATTCGAACCCGCCACCTTAGGTTTATGTGTCTGGCGCCTTAGCCACTTGAGCCACAGGCGCCAAGCCTCCAATTTTTTTTTTAATTGACAATTACTGTGAAGAATAAAGTTACAATTTATCTGAATATGAATACTCAAAATGAAGGGAATACTCAAACTTACGATTGAAAAGATCTTTTGCTTGATCATAGGTCTTTGGGAATCCATCCAAAATATAGCCTTGATTCTTGCAAGGCATTGATTTTAGCTTTTCTTTAACAAATCTAATTAAATATTGATCTTCTATTCGACCTGATAAAAAGAAAAAATGTATTACTGTGGAGTCACATTCCACATAAAGGTTATGTTCTGTAGATACCTCAAAAATTGTTGTGTAAACCATAGTCTTAATGCAGCTGTAGTTTGAATTTGTTATTTTGGGCTGTTTGTTGCATGTAAATACAATATGCTCTTTGGATGTAAATCTTAGAAACGCACAGTATGGATGTAAGATATCATTAATAAAACATTAATCCAGAGCTGGCATAGTGGCTCACGCCTGTACTCCTAGCACTCTGGGATGCCGAGGCAGGTGTATTGAGCTCACATGTTTGAGACCACCCTAAACCAGAGCCAGACCTCATCTCTAAAAATAGCCAGGCGTTATGGCGGGCACCTGTACTCCCAGCTACTTGGAAGGCTGAGGCAAGAGAATCACTTGAGTCCAAGAATATGAGATTGCAGTGAGCTATAACACCATGGCACTCTACTAAGGGTGACAAAGTGAAACTTTGTGTACAAAAAAAAAAAAAATTAATCTCGGTCTAAAAAAAAATCATTCTTGTATAGTGAAAGGTACCGTTGGAAATACCCATTTTGTCCTTAAAGTAAAAAATATGTGATTTGGGGGCAGCGCTGTGGCTCAGAGGAGTAGGTCACCAGCCCCATATGCCAGAGGTGGCAGGTTCAAACACAGCCCCGGCCAAAAACTGCAAAAAAAAAAGTGATTTTATATTTTGAACATGCATGTGAATCCTAATGCACAATAAAGTAGGAGAATATAATGAGCTTTTCTTTCTTTTCTTTCTTTCTTTTTTTTTTTTTTT